GGTTAAGATTTAAGTTTTTTTTTATTTCAAAGGTCCTCATGGCTCAGCAGCAGCAGAAGCATAAATATTACTGTTAAGAAAGCTGATGACAAAGTTGAATAAAAATCTAAGTCTGATGAAGGTAAATTAAATCTCTGACAGTGATCATTACACAGTGTGGCTCTAATTCTTCACTTCACCATCTGTGTCACAGTTTCCCTTCTCCAAAATGAGCGTACGCATGGGTCAAAGCTGGCGTGAGGCACCGCACATTTTCACGTCAAGTTTGGATTTTTTAAACACAACGTTGGCGTAAAAAGTGGCGTACGCAAGTTTCTGGGCTCAAATTGTGCGTACGCCAGTTTTATAAATCCGACCCCAGATCTTCTGACTCGGTGTGAAAGTAATAATCCTCGGCCCGGGGGATGATGTCACATACACAGACTCTGTGGCTTTAATAAGAATGTCACTGCTGCATGTTGTGACACATACTGTAAGATTTTAAGCAGCTAAGAAAATAACTAATATTTTAGCGCGAGTTAAGTCTGTTAATAGTTCATAAAGTTAGTGTAAATGCTAAACTGTTCATCAAAATATTAGTTCTGCTAATGGTGAATTAGCAGAACTGTGCCCACCATGGGTTTTAGGAAGCTAAAATTGTAATAAGACTGTTCGATGCCTTCAGTTTTTTCAGCACATTTTGGATATTGAAATGAACGTAATCGTGTTTTTGTTGATGCGCAGGGTGCGATGGCAGCCACCTACTCCGCCCTGAAGAACTCCCAACCCACTCCGGAGCTCAAGCCCATCGAGAGTTCCTTCCTGGCTCAGAGGCGCGTCAAGAAGCTGCCCTCCACCTCCCTGTAGAGACTTACCGCCGGCCAGTCAGCTCACTGGAGTCTGATCCAGAGCCACTCCTCCCAGTCAGCTTGCTCGTGGGTCGATGGGTCCAGCCTCCAAAATGAAAAAAAGAAAACAGCCAAGGAACACTGACTCTGGTCCTGTCCTCACTTCCTGCTCTTGCCACCATCCCCCGTGTTCGGGCTCTTCGCACCCCGCTGGAAGCCAAACTACCTGGAGCAGCAGCAGATGTGACGGCAGATAGAGCGATGATAAGTTTAAAAACAATAAAAAAGGAGGGTTGCAGGTTTTTTGCTAATTTCTTAGTGCCGTGTGGGTGAACGATGTGTGTGCATGACCTGCAACAGAGTTGTGTTTTTTTGATGACGATGCTGTAACTGGTTCTTTCTGCACGCCTGTCTGTCTCTGCCAGTTTCGTTGTCTGACTTCCTGTTTTGTTTTGGTTTTTTTGTAAAGTTTATGAGCTTTATATTACTGGTTGTACCGCCAGCACAAATCCATCTGCTGTTCAGTGTTTTTCGAGGAGCATTGTTAAAATAAATATGAAACTCTTTTTTTTTTCTTTTTTTTTTTTGTGTGCCATGAATGCCTCTTTGGCTTTGGTTTCAACCAGAGATTCTGAAAACTGTCAATCGCTGATGTTTTGGTTAACGTCGATCTAAACTACTATTTGCTTTTACAGAGTGAATGTGTGTGTGCGTGCGTGCGTGTGTGTGAGAGGGAGAGTTGCATGACTTGCAGTGCGTGTCTGTACCTGTCTTGCGGGATGCTGCAGAGTCATGTGCATGCTCTGGTGATGTGACGATGTCACGTAGCTTCCTCGTTTTTCGCCTCTCTCACTTTTTCTCTCAGCTTCGTAAATCTGTTTGCAAACACTTTGAAATGTCTACTATTTTTATGACTGTAAAAGCAACAACAACAACAACAAATAAAACTAGTAAAGTAGGTGGCTTTCTGTGAAAGAAAACCTGCCCAAGGAACAATGTGGCATGTTAAAACTTGCTTAATGATGCGTTTTCATGTTTTGTTTTGTTTTGTTTTTCCACTGGATGATGTTTAATGAAAGCTGTTTTCTTGTGTTGGCTGCTTTTGTTGTTTATCTTTTTTTTTTTTGTCTTTTAAAAAAATTGGGGATTTAAAGTAGTGAAAGACACGCTGAGCAGATCCTAGCCTGTGGAATTGCTGCCATGCAGGTCTCTTCTTTTAAACTGAACCACTGTCTGAAACCAGTTGAGCACTCAAACTCAGCTTCTCTAGCATCACACGAACCTGCCCTCAGTGTGAAAGATCTTTGTCTTGAATTCCTGTTGAACTTTTTTTTTTTTTTTACATCGACACTGACTTTGAAATCTTCTGAGGAAGAGTGAAGGTGTCTGACTGAATCACATCTGAGGGCAGGTCCTGCTTTCAGCTCGATGCCTACAACGGGCAGAGTGGGCATAAATAAGAAAAGTAAACGTTGAAGGAAAGACCTGTAAGGCTCAGTATTTTATTACCCAGCTGTCTTACCTCAAAAGGGATCAAAGTTCTGATTTATTTCTTGTTTGGTGGCAAAGCTTTTCCTCCTTTTGACTAATGGTATTATGGTAAGATGTTATTGTACGATAAAAATGAAGATTTTTATATCTTACAATATTAAAAACCGAGTTGCTATGACAGACTGCCCTAGTTGGTGTTTTTCTTTCCCCCCCCCCCTTCGGGGTGGTAAATGTTGAAAAATTTCCTAGATTTAAAAACCCTATAAAACACGTCAAATTCAAGGTCCACGGTCAAAATCTATCCCTCGTTAAAGTTTTATCTGGTCCCAAATGTAATACTTGAAATGGTTTCTCTTTTTGTCTCTATTCTTCTCATGACAGCCATATTTAAAGCCGAGAAAATTAACTTGGGATTTTTTCCTGATCTTTGATTTTGGTGTTGAAAGAGTAACCAAGAATCAATTTTAATTATCTTTTGCTGTGTTCTTATTTAAAAATCAAATAATTAGATTTTTAGTGATGGTTTGTTTCTTTTTATCCAATTTACTAGACTGTGATAAAATGTATCTTTAAAATATAATGAATGAAATAGTTGTTGATGGAAACTAAGGCATAAGAAATAAATGCTAAAAAGTCTTTCTAAAGTTAATCTTTTTCTTTATCCGTTAGGTTAAGTGTTCTAAATGCTATATAAAACAATTTGGAAAAGATCATTTGTATTTCTATCAGAATAGTTTGTCTAATAAGAATTTTTCAGTAAAAAATGAATTGGTTTGGACCAATGTAACTTTGTGATTTCATCTATAAACTTTGCTAAACAAACATCACGTAAATATGATTTTATTTAAAATCTGCTAAAAAAAAGAAAAAGTGACATTTGTCTTGAATTTAAAATGTGTAAATTAGGCCCAAATCTTTGTGTGTGTAATCAAAAGTGGTTTTAAACTGAGGGAATAAAGTCAAAGTGATTCAGCAGAAACTTCATGTTTTTATGTCTCAAAGTTTTTCATTTGAAGAAACAAGTTTTTCTACGTCTCGTGTGAAAATTTAGTTTCTGCAGATTTCAWATGTTTTAAATCTTCAGCTGAAAGAAGCAGAAAACATGAAGGAGTTTAGTTGGTCYAGATGTCAGCGGGTCCAACAGGCTGCTGGACTCTGAAGGACTTCATGTCCTCTAGAACTGGATAAAAGATTCTGTAAGACCCAGTGAGTCCTCTGAGATGAAGGTCTACAGTCAGTCCCCTCAGTCTCTTCTCTGCAGCTCAGTCTTCAGCTTCACTTTAGATTTTATCTAAGTTCTTTTCTTGTAAAAATAAATAAATAAATAAATAAATAAAGTTGAAATTTAGGAGATAAATATCCACAGAGAACTTCTCTCTTTGTATTGAGTGATGGCTCAGAGGAAAAAGAAAGTGACTGAAGTGCTACAGGTTCAATTCCTGCTCCCTCCAGTTTCAGATTTTGTCYTTTTTTTAAGTTAAAAGAAGTAAAGYKACCTTCTGGGATCAAACCTGCAACCCTTGGATTACAGCAGCAGCCAGTCTTCTTACTGCCTGCACCACTCACTCTTCTACACTTCTGTTTTTTTTCTTTTACTGATCTTTTATTGTCTGGATTTTTAGGTGTCAGGACATCTTTACAGTCCAAGAACTTAAAGTCTGAGAGAAAAACCTTCATCTGAGCCACTTCAGAAGCTCAGGAGGTCCTGAAGCCTCAGAGRTGAGAAGACTGAGGTCTGAACTCATCAGGCTTCTTTATTCTGAGCTGAAATTCAGGGGAACCTCCTCAGAACTCAACCTGTGAACTTTGAGCTGCTCTTCAGGAACATTCACATTTTACAGATCAGCTCCAAACTTTGACTAAATTCTCTGGACTCAGTCCTGAATCCTGCTTTCAGAAAACTGCAGCTTTTTTTTTCCATCAAACTCAGGTCACCTTAGGAAAAGTTGACTTTGTTTGTTGAATGTTTCAGACTCAGTTTATCACCCCCAGCCAAGGTTATGTTGTAGGTGGTGTTGGATTGTTTGTACATCTGTGAACAAGATTCCTCAAAAGGTTATGAAAAGATTTTCATGAAATTTTCAGGACATGTRGGGGTTTTCACATAAAACTTGTTACATTTTGGTTGTGAGAACATCTGACAGAGCTGAAACTTAAAGGGGACATATCAGGATTTTAAATCCTTTTTTACATTTGAATTATTCAGTTGGAGTCTATATAAAATGCTTTGGTCTGAATTCCTGGATTTTGTAACTCCACAAGCTCCTCTTTCACCTTTGTCTGAGTCAGATCCAGAACCAGAGGAGACTGAAGACCACAAACCTGCAGAACCCAAAATGCACAAAATGTGTTAGCTGGAAGTCCATGATTATATTTAGAAGTTCAGCAGCAAATGCTGTGACATAATAGTTCAGAAAATATCAGAGAAAACCGGACGTACTGAAATATATAACACAGAATGTCAATGTATCTATGCGGCACTGGCAAAGATTATATTCAACTTTTCTGCACTCCTAGAGACTCCAAATACACAAGAAAGGCATTTTAGGGCTTAAAAATGGATTTTACATATGTCCTTTTAAATAAGTAATTTCAAATAAACAGTGGTAACCAATTGATTTCAAATCTCCAGTTGTCATTCTTGAATAACAAAACATCTTTAGCAAATAATTTTACAGGTTCAGGAAGCAAAAATCTACTTAGATCAGAGGAGGTGCCAGAGCCTGCTGTTTAGTGATGATGTCATGACAGCTGGTCAGCATCCAGCAGAACCTTCGTTCACCAATCACAGCTCAGCAGCTGCACTCTCTCAGTTGCATAAAGTCTTGGTGGGGTTGTGGTCCCTCTGAGGGCTTATAGTTATTATATGGTTTTATTTTTGTATTATTGCCTGGCTTAGTAATCTAAGTCTGTAGTTCCCAAACTTGGGGTCTGGACCACTGTGGGTCCTTAAACATCAAGGTGGGGCCTTGAAATGACTTGTTGCATTTAAAAATGACTGCTAACAAATATATATATATATATATATATATATACACTGTATATATCCATAGTTGTTCTAAAAGAGTGAGGTTAATGTACTTAAAAATGGATGAAATAAGCGTAATGAATATTGTTAACATGTAATAATAATAATAATAATAATAATAATAATAATAATAATAATAATAATAATAATCCTTTTATTTGAAAAGCGCCTTTTGAGGACACCCAAGGACACTTACAGCATTAGACACATCATAGAAGAATGTGTGAAAATACAGTTGGAGACAAGCTGGCATGAGTTACAGAGAATTGTTTACAAATAAGATGGATAAAGCAGACTTGAACACGGGAAGAGAGGAGGTGTTTCTTAGGTCAGGTACAGAGTTCCAGAGGAGGTGCAGAGCAGGTGAAGACCCTGCTCCCCATGGTGGAGAGGCGGGCAGTGGGTACTTGGAGGTTTAGGGAAGAGGATCGGAGAGAGCAGGAGGGGATGGAGATGTGTACGAGGTCYGACATGTAAGGAGGGGCAAGATGGTGGARAGCTTTGAATGTGAGAATAAGAATTTTGAAGACGATGCGTGATTGGACCGGGAGCCAGTGGAGCTGCTGCAGGACTGGGGTGATGTGGTTATGGGAGGAGGTTTGGGTGATGACACGTGCAGCCGAGTTCTGCACCATCTGAAGCTTACGGAGGGATTTGTTGGGGAGGCCAAAAAGAAGAGATTTTTAGTAGTCAATCCCTGAAGTCACAAGACTGTGGACAAGGATGGCTGTGATGCGGGGTGTGAGAGAAGGACAGAGATGGTTGATATTCCTGAGGTGGAAGTAGGCAGACTGAGTAGCATTATTGATGTGAGCAGTGAAAGAGAGAGTGGTGTCGAGGATGACACCAAGACTCGATTTCTGTTTTATCGCTATATTCAGCTGAAGGAAATTGCCTGAAAATCAGTGATTGAGTTCATTGAGACAGTCAGAGAGGATGGAGGGAGGGTGTGTAGAGTTTGGCTTGGTTGACAGGTAGAGCTGTGTGTCAACGGCATAACAATGGAAAAGGACACCAAACTTGCGGAAAATGTAACCAAGAAGAAGGAGGCAAGTTGTGAAGAGAAGGGGTTCAAGAACAGAGCCTTGGGGCACACCAGTGGAGACAGGGGATGACTGAGAATGGAAGGATTGTCTATGTTGTCTATTTGACATGTTAACACTGTGCCCCCAACCCAAAAATAGTTGGGGGCACAGGTCTCTGCTMGTGTTATTTTGTGGGTCAAAAGCTGAAAGGTTTAGGAACCACTGATTCTAGAWTCTAAAGGTTTTGTTTGTAGATGTGAGTTTTCCTCACTTCCAGGAGCATGAGCATGRGGAGGTCAGAAACCCTGGAAAAGCATAAAAACAAAGTGTTGAGGTGAATCTGCTGCCCTCAGATGAAACAGATGAGTCAGAACGTTGCTTTCCTCAGCCTCAGAGGTCTTGTGGGTCATTTTGACCCAAYAGAGTTCAAAGTCATGTCTTTRAACTTTCTTCCACCAAACTTGAGCAATCACCTCCTCATATTACCACTTTTCTTTTTTACCTGTTCCTACCCATCTACCTATATCACAGGGACTGCTGCTCACGCCATGGAGGCGCCTGAGACCAACATTGTCTAAGATAAATGCCTTCATTTATACACAGACGCACATGCTTTATTATGTTACCACCAGGCTCTTTGAAGTCATTTTGCCAGTAATTTCCAAGGAATGATTTGCACACACACTCCCTCGTGAACACACACTCACACACAGAGTGACTGAATCAGGCTGCAGCAGTTGAAGGAGAAAACTGATATTGATTAGAGAACAATGGAAAAACATCACCATCATTTGTCTCGAATCTCAGAAGAAAATAAAGGTGGGGGTGTTGCTGTTTTTATGCTCCACTTGATTTGCTTTGTTTAATGCTGCTGGCAGCGTTTTCTCAACATTTCTCTGTTTAAGGTCTTATTGATCACATTTTAGTTTTCTTTGTCTGATGTAAGGAGTCTGTGTAGACTCTCCTCTGCTTCTTGCAAATAAAACCCTAAAATGGAAACAATTTTATGACAACAAAATGCAGCTTTTACCACACAGCATCCATATTTTTATTTGAAGAAGATGACCCTGCAGTATATGATAGGCTACAACATTTAATATCAGCTGGAAAATATACTACTGTTATCAAACCCTCAAGAGAAAATCTGTTATTTGTTCAAAAATAAAAAAGCAACACTGTATGAAATATTTGCTTTTTGATCCAGAACATTCTGCATTTACCTCATTATGCATACAGTGTGTTGTAAGGAGGTTTTTTTTTTTAGTTTGTTTTCCTTCAACATTTACTTTAAAGCAATTTATGCATTGATGGGAAAATAAAGGTTATTCAGTAGCATTCACATTAGCTAGAGTTGTTTTAGACAGCAGTGGTTGAATGTTTCTCCAAACTGAGGAGAAACAACCATCCACTAACAACTAAAGAAACAATTAATAGTAATTGCCCATACCCTTTAAACAGGAGCTCACTTTAAAAGATCTGAACTATTGCTTTAAGGCACGGGGGTCAAACTCATTTTCACCAAGGTTCACATGAACAATATTATAATTAACTTTGATGTTTTGTGTTTAATTTTGATTAAACATGAAAGCTTGCATTCCTCATTTCATTGCTACAACTGAGCACTGCTAACAAACATGATGAAGCTTTATGAGGTATTTCCTACATGTCCTCATTTAAACACTGGAAAATATTACATGTTGGACTGACTAAATGTGAAATAAATAACACAGAAATACTATTAAAAGTAAGAGAGTTTAACTCACTGAGTTGTGGTGAAAGGCTGCCATCTTCAATTTTGAACTCTCCCACTGTCCAACAGGGAATTCCTACTGGAAGGGGCATTCCAGTTAAAATGTACTGCTTGTAAGTGGGAAATTCCCACTTTTTTTATTTATGTATTTATTTCCTTTATTTAACCAGGAAAGTCCCATTGAGATTAAAAACCTCTTTTTCAAGGGAGTCCTGGCCAAAGAGGCACTTCCAAGTACAGCCCTAAAAACAGCAAAAATGCAGTGAAATGGAGATTTTACACGCCACATTTCACCAGCTACTTTTGAATCCTGTGCAACTTCATCTAGTGGTGGGATGCTGTCATTTTGCAGGTAGAAATAAACAACAGGCTTTCTGGGAAATGTAGTTTATGGTTAATGCTGGCTTTAAAGCAACAAACATTAGTACGTCTCTGAAGCTCTTCCAGGCCACAAAAAATGTTGTGGCGGGCCACATTTGGTACATGGGCCTTGAGTTTGACACATTACACACTTAGTGCAATCTATATATAAGTTGTCTAATTAATTATAATTTTTAAGTAGTCTAATTTTTTATTTAAAAAAACATTTATGTGTAATATAATAGAGCTGAAAACCATAGGGTTGACAGTAAAACCATCTTTCTCTGCAGCTCTTAAGCTTCACGCAACCAGATTATGTAACACTGAGTCCAAGCTAAGTCCTCCGCTACACACATCTYATGTCAAACAGCTGAAAGAAAATAATTTAAACACAAGATGGATAGAGCATCCATCACACTTCCAACATCAAAGCAGAAATACAGATTAAAGAGATCTGGAACAGGAGGCTCAGTTTGACAGAGTCCAGGTTTTTATGGTTATAACAGGAAGAGAGTTTGGTGGTGATGATTGTGTTTTAGAAGGATTTGGCACAAGAACATAATAAATTTATAAACACTCAACTGGACTGCAATTTATCCTATGTCAGTTTTTGCTGGTAAGTGTTGGTAAAAAAACATGCTTGACTTTTTCAAAGCACACAGAACAGAAAACTGTGCAGAACATCCACATGAAGCATCTTTAGGGCTGCACGAACCTAAATCTATTCTGTCCGGCCTCTTTCCTTTTGTTTCTGTCGTATTTATGCTCAGCACGACTCCTCTGTTTTCTTCAGAAAGCGGTAAAGCTAAAAGCAGGAAGAYAGAAGCCATTGCTACGGCTAATGCAATGCCAACTGCGAGATAAAAGCAAAGAGCTAAGTGAGCACTCACATATGCATGCACATGGACATCACACACATGCAAACCCACCTCTGACCCACTGAAAGCTTCATCTGTTTCACTTCAGCCTAAAAGAGGACATTTATTTAAAACTTTGCTACTCGAGACTTCAAATGATGCCAGCCTTGTGTGTCTCTGAGTGAACTATACCTTCACTTCATCATTCATTGTCTCTGCAGTGCAGACACACAATTAGTCAATACTTGTCTAGACAGAGAGGTAAACCTACCCAGGGACTGACTATTAGAGCAAGAAAAAAAACTAGTTCAAGGTATTATATCCTGATGATGTAACTGGTTACTGTCAGATCAGATTGCATAAAAGGCAAAGCTGTTTTTACATAAAGTAATGGAGTCAATGYGCAGGATTCTGCAGCCTTTGTTTGTTTATATACAAAAACATTAATAATGGAAGGCTTATAATCKATATATTATYTAAAACATTTAAATYTTCTTTGTATTTTCCTGAAATCTAGGGAGGAAAACGTTGCTGCTTGGGAAGTGGCCTGTTACTGTTTCCATTACCAAAGAATCTAGAAGTGTTGTTATTTTTTTTTATTATCAATATGCAAGGCATGAAACAGTTAGCATCTCCACAACGAATTTTCATTTCGCTTTGCTTTGGTTTTCTCTGTCCATTATCCTTTATACTTGTAGTTCTGAGCTTTACTTCGTTTTCTGTAGTGATACTCACCTCCTTGGCTCATGGAGATGTACTGTGTTTGATAAACAGTGTTTGCTGTGAGCTACGACCGCAAATAAAGATTGCTTCAGGTCAGCCTGAAGCTGATTCTGTTGTGTTTTTTTTCCTTCCTCCTCTGTTGAGCTTATTTTACCAAAATGTCTACTGGAGGTGAAACCTCTTTGTAAAATTAGGAACAAGGTATTTAATTTAGCTTTGAAGCTTTTAAAACCGATTTAAAAAGTAGGTATTGTGCAAAATTGACTTGCTTGAGCTTTATATCATGTTATAATGTCATCCCCTCATCAAAAACACACCCAGTGTTGCTTTGACTCATTCATGCATGTTTGAGAAATCCATGACATGTGGCGCTGCCTAAACGCCTGCTGGTACAAAGCACCGCCTATTTACACAAAGCTCCTCCCTGGAGCTCAGTCTGCAGCCGAGCTCRCGCCTCAAAGCATTGTTTGAAAATGTGCTGAAGTGGGAGTGTCAGAAATGATGGGAGGTACTTTTTTGCCACTTCAGTAGAAAGCACTAAATATCTGAATATTAGTATCTTAGCTTCTTCATCATCAGTGGCTTTTTTATAGATAGACAAGAAAGAAGAAGAAAGAAAGAAAAGAAAAGTGACAATGTAATGGAAAAAAGTGAAAGAATTGATGATATGTGAGATATACGACAAGAAAACAATACAATACATCCAACATCTGACTGCACACCTGCAAAGAATTAAGGTAACAAAACTTAGTAAAAGCATACATATATACATTTAGACAAACAAACACCTATATATACCTGATGATCATTCAGAGCCCCTCGGATCTGAACGCCTGTCTGCGTGCGGTTGTGAGCAAGCATGAGTTTACAGGATTTCTCTAACGGAATACAGTATAATAGTGACTGTGGTAAGAAGTTCTTAAAGAGACAGAGGCCAATTTCAAGATGTTTAAATAGGTTGGGATGCAAAGTCAAATTTATTTGTAATAAATTCAGCATTTTCACAAGAACTAAAGGTAACATAGTTACCTGTTTGTGGTATAGAATTGAACTGTGTGCCTGTGTTTCTGCTTTATTGGTTTCAGTCAGCGTTCTTGTTTTTGCCAATCTGAGAAAAAAAAATCTAACTGTGGACAAAAAACCTGCACTCTGACGGGGTGGAAACGCTGAGCAGCAAAGTGATTAAGGGAGAGATAAAGTGGAGCATCACCCTCTCCCCCACTCCACTGCTGATGATGTCAAGGTTGTGTTGCTATGGGCAACCATCAGAGAGAGAGAGAGAGAGAGAGAGAGAGAGAGATAGAGAGAGATGGAGAGAACAGCTGGGGAGGAGGATGGTAGCAGAGAGGCATAGAAAACAGAAAGAAAGTATAAAAAAGGAGTAAGTTGATCAGTGTGCACCTTTTGACTGAGCACAGCTGCAGAGGATGAGGACGAAGCAGTCAGGCGAAGGACACAGCCTGCCAGCATCAGCAGCARGGAGGAAAGGCTGCCCAATCATCAGCTGACGTGCTCAGCAGCCAATGAAACGCCAGGAGGCAGCCTCCCAAGCACAACAACTCGGATGCAGAACAATCCAAGCTCCGATGTCTCATTGATGAATGGAGGTGTTCCCAGGCCGCCTCTCTCTGCCCGGCTCCTCGCTCGTCTGACAGCAGGATGGAGAAGAACACCAGCAGCGACATTAAGGGACGTCAGAAAGGTGAGGCAAAGGCTACAAAGGAACGTCAAAGAAGCACAGAAAGCAGCGATGAGGACGCAGAGGACACGACAGCAGCCCTTAAAGGTACCGACTCCCAGCCTGACCTCCGTCTGCCGGGTTCCTCCTCTCCGTCACCATCTTCCTCCGCTCTCCCTCTCTCCACCCTGCCGCCCTCCACGTCTGCCTCCGCTCTCCTGGCGCTCGCATCCCCAGCGACCAGGCGCTCCATCTCTATGGGAGACTTCCGGAGGGTGACGGCGGCTCTGCTGGCCGGCTCCGAGCCGCCGTCCCGGCCCGCCACGGCCCCSTCCTCCAAACTGGTCACCCCCAGCTCCAGCATGGAGTTCGAGGCGGCCCGGCGSCGCCTCCTGGAAGTGGAGGAGCGGCAGCGCGTCGTCCGGGAGATGGAGCGGCGGCTGGAGGAGCTCAGGGAGATGTTTGTGCGCTCGGAGCAGCGGGTGGTGGTCCACGGGGAGCTGGTGTCGCGGATATCCACCGCGGCTCAGCAGGGAGAGTTGCACGTGGCGGAGACCACCCAGCGGCTGAAGAAAGGCGCCCGGTTCAAGAAGCACCGGCCCGCCATCGTCTTTTCCTCCATGCTCGGACTTCGCACGTGTCTCCCGTGGCCTGTGAAACTCAAATGAAACATTTCATCTCTGACTTTAGAAATGCGCTTTACACACCTGGGAGGATGCACTTCCTGTCTTTACTTCGACCTTGCTGCTCTTGTATCCTGAGGCTGGTCCTCCAGGGGGTTAGAGTGCCTGCAAACACCACAGAGGCTAGTAAGGAGCTCCTRCCCCACGTTTTGTGTATTTTCAAAGAGGCTAGWAAACCAATCACGCTCACASCAGTACGAAGGATGTCATTGTGTCCTCACTGTTTTCACAGATCCTTTGCTGCTTGCAGTCAGTGTATGAGAATCAGATAGATCCCACACCGCACAGATGAGTCAGGTGATGTGGGAGGAGAGGCACAGATTTGTCCTGCGATGCATCAAGAGATTTCATGTATTTTAGCTGATTTAGGTTGTTAAAGTCTCAGGAGAAGGAAAAAGATGAATGAATCTGCTTCTTTTTTTCAGCTCTAGGAGAAAGGAGTGAAGGGCAGCAAAGATGAGAGGTTTCAGTTTGGATAAAGCTAAGGGAAAAAACGATTTAAAAGAAATAAATAATTGTGCCTTGGCTCCAGCTCCCACCATGGCATCTGTTTTGTCAAGCCGCACGAAACAAAGACGCAAGAGACCGCAGGAAAGACATTCACGCTGGGACAACTCCACCTGTGGCCTCTTTTTATCCTGTCACCTAGCAACCCCTCATCCCTCCATCCTAATTCTGCTTCTCCAAACGCACAGAATGTATCCAGCTGAGAGCTGCAACCCCACAGAATGTGACAGCTGTAGAGATCCGATGAGAGATTAGGAGGTTTGTAATGAATGCCGTCCATGTTTTGGAACAGGGATTGGGTTTAGGCTGACTCATGCATGCATCGTATGAAATCACTGCTTATTGTGTCTTACACGACTTCAGAGCTGAGACTTTGCTTCCTAGACTGCAAACAGAACTTAAAGTGCACAAAAGCCTCACTAGCATCCTTCTGTTGCATTAATGGGGCAGCAAAGAAAGTTTGACTGTATTTATTCAGGGTTTCTTAGCGTTTTCAGTTCAGTTCTGTTAGCGAACTACACTACAAGCTATTTAAATTCCTCATGCCTATCAAGACTTTACAATTACCCAATTTTACATATAGTCTCATCTTTTTACTCCATTCTTAATCACATGCTCGTTAAATTATCAACGCTTTACTCTCTCTTGCATACCTTTTAATTACTTCCTAGCGTTAGCTGCATTTGTGTGTGTGTGAAAAGCACAGAAAATACACAGAGGTTATCAATTTTATATCTGAAAATTACAGCGGCGAGGCAAAGGTTCAGTCTAACTGCAGTTTGTGTTAAAAAAATAAAAAATAAAATGTACCTATTAGCACACTAGCATCCAGGACATGTTCACCATTTTCAACAAAGGCCATACCGCCTAATGGTGCTTTGTTTAGCCTATTGTCATAAAAGGGTTTATGCGAAACAAACATGCAAAACTCTTTAAAGTAAAAGCACATGGTTTGATTGTACAATCACTTATTGTAGGTTTCTATAAGTTTTCTGTTTAGCTTGTAGGCACTCCATTTAAACTGAGACGCACCATAATGCATGGAAAACCAGATGTCCTAAAGCATGAGTTTTAAAGTGTAAGTCAATGAGAATGAGGCCACATGTTAGCTTTGAGTATTACCTGTTTTAGACTTTAAGGGCTTTAAAAAATTTGTTTCTCAAAGCTGTTTGAAGAGAGCGACTCTGCTAATTAAAACAACCAATTGAAACCTGACGAAACTTGTTTCAAATAAGAAAACATTGCTGGGGTGCCTCTTTAATTAGGAAATTGTCACAGATTTTAGGTTTTAGTTGAAGATTTACTCCTTGAATGTTGTCTTATATCCTGTATAATCATTCCACATGGCTACTGTAAGCACAGTCTTTGTGCACGTAAACCATATTCTGCAAAAAAAAATCCATTAGAAAGCTTCTCAAGAATAAAAAGGTCTTAAAGGCTTTAAATATAAATTTATGCTCCTGTGTTTTAAGCTACAGACGTACACCTGCTTAACATGTCTTAAGCATTTTTTGCATAACATTAATAGAAATGATACAAAGAATGATATTAATGAATAGGGTGATAATCAGAGCTGGGATAGACCTCATCCAGAAACATATTTTCTCTGAACAGGAAGTCTCAAGTCATGTGGACTGCACCTTTTTTCTTTTCCTCTGAATGAAACAAAAAGACCATTTTCCAAAGATCTTTGGACTCACTTGCAGAACGAATGTATATCTGACTGTTTGATGTTTGTTTGTTTTGTTTTTAATCACTGATTAAGATAACCAGTGTTGTTTGAACCTGTGGTTGGCTTTAATGCACTTGTTTTAATTTCTTGCCTGCAGGAGGACATTCAGGCTGACGTAGCTTTCAACAAAAGCAAATTTATTTATTGAATAAATGTTTCTGGAAGTAGAAATTACTGTTAAGTTTTGCTCTCACAGCCCTTTACTGTCATAAATGCTGGCCAACCACAGGGACAAAAATACTTTTCTGAAATTTACTATTTGAATGTTTCAACATTTTGTGCTTCTTTGTGTCCCAACACGTCCCCTGCTCATTGGTTGTTCAACATTTCACCTTAAGTTATTTTTTTCCTGACTGAAACCTCTACCTAAGTTTAAATGTGAGCTAAAATCGCTGGCTGTGTTGTTTAAAATGTTGTATGCTTTAAGGAAGCACAGGTTTAGTGATCATTTTCTTTCACTTTTTTCTAGAAGCAAGAAATTACAAAATTATTCCAGTTTAAGTGTCTCATGTATGCGAAATAGCGGCTCTATTGGAGGAAAAAGCTTTGAAACTGAATGTTCTGCTCTTTTATGCTTCAGTTTGCCTACACTCTTTTGTTTTTATTATATTCAGCACAAAGACACATTAACGTCACACAATCTCATGTTAGGCAATTTCCTTTTTTGTAAGACTCTTTTTTTTGTAAAATAAGCTGACTTAGAATAAATAGACTAAATATATTTCAGTGGTGTGAAGATTGATTTGTTTCTTTCAGAACAGAATCAGAATCTTTAGCGGTTTCTCTGAAAACAGCAACGTGTTAAATTTCACATGTTCGCAGCAGAACAGGAGGGAGTATTTGGGTCACCTTGCAGCAGCTGAACACCTGGTCAGCAGAAAATCACTCGGTGATGTAATGAAGTTCTTCAGGACAAAAAAAGTGGAGCAGGCCTTGGCTTGTATCCATTCATTCGCTTAGATAACCGTAAAGTGCTCCAAGTGCTCAATTATCACAGGATTTGTGGAGTTACTGTACATTAGGCTGAGTTCACTTCATAAAAAGCATCACAAGCATATTAATTTAATACTTACAGAGCTCAGTATTTGGGTTGGGAAAGCCCTTAGGTTCTATTTGTTTGCAGGGATCATATCCAGAGTAATGTGACAGAAGAAACACAGGAAACCTTGAAATTAATGCAAGTTTTAAGTCCTCGTCTTAATGGATCAATCATAAAACTATACAGCAGGTAAAATAAGTATTGAACACGTCACCATTTTTCTCAGTAAATATATTACTAGAGGTGCTAATGACATGAAATTTTCACCAGATGTCGGTAAC